AAAACACGTAGATTTTCAATTATACTTTATATTAGTTCGTTCGAGTTAATTATACATACCACATGGTCCAATTTTAGCCACAGTAACTAGATCACCACTGACACAAGATTGCCTCCTCATGAGACACTCGGACCGATCTTGAACATCATCTGAAGTACAAACAGGGCTAACTGTGTCGGGACATGTGGGACAGATGCACTCTGCCGCATTGTCTACAACTCTGCAGCCTGTGTTGTAAGGGGCGTCACAGCCGTCAGTTTTGCATGGATCTGTAGAAATAAAAATATGTTAATGTGGAGGTCAAAAGTACTAAAAATGGACATTGTTCTCAGGAAACAAAGGAAATGAACACAACCTACCAGGTGGAGTTGTAGGCTGCGTTGTAGGAGTCGTACGTACAGGAAGCACTGAGAGAACGGTAAACATAAATGTTGTTGTTTTAATTGACATAACTAGGAAAACAACAATAACAACACCAACAACAACAACAACAAGAAGTAAAACCGGTATTTCCAGGTAAGCTTTTAACGGCCTATTCGCCAATAATTGGCCTTGGATCAGAGAAAGAGATAAGAATGAATGAAAACTAGAGAGAAACATTACAAATAGTAATCGAAGATTAAATTATTTAAAAAAGACGTTTGAACAATACCTATACAAAAGCCTCTCTTTATCCGATGAACTTTGTCTTGCAATTCGTCGAACGATTTAACTGTGAACACGTTATCAGGTGAGGATGCGATTTTTTCAAGTTCTGATTTGTCAATGTCGTCGCCAATACCCAAAGCAAACACACTTGCTTTCTTTTCCTGTAGTCGCGAGGAGAGAACGTCGAGAGAAGTATACGGTCCTTGGGTAGTTGTTTGCCTTCCATCCGTGATTACAATGACAGGCTGTCAGGTACAGAAAAGGAAACATATATTGAAATGAATAAATGATAAAATGGATGAGATAAATTATCGAAAGAGACAATTTCCTCATTGGTCGCTGCAGTCAGGGTATTACTTAGCTCTTATTAACCGAGCAGGAGGTCTGTGTGGGAGAATCTTGAATGAGGTCGTGAGTACAGACCGAACGCAGTGAGGTCTGCACACAAGACCGATCTTAGTCTTATTAACCGACTAAGATCGGTTAATAAGATGTTCATTATATGGGAAACAAGAAAAAATTAATTCGTTTAATGTAAGTGGTTTGTTTTAACTGACATTTTGCTTGCGAAAGGCGATGACCTGAACTTAATTCTCCCAAAGTTTGCTTGTCTTCTTTACTCTTTTTCCTCTTCAGGAATTTTGGCACTTCCATAAATAAATATTTTTAGAGGAAAATAGTCAATGATTTTGCATTTCAGTTTGCAACTTTTTCACTGCAAAACATTTCCAGTCTAGATGCCGGTCTAGATGGGAAAATCTAGACCGCTTTCAATATCGATTTCAGCCAATCAAATTCGTGAATTTGGTAGCTCTCAATCCTTGTGAGACAGAGCCGTATGATAAAAGACGATCTCACTAAGGTGCGCGAGAACATATAACAAAACAATCATTAACACATGCTCTGAGATTACCCTTGGAACATCTCTCATGCCAGCTGGGGATGTCAACACTTCCTTGTCAGCTAGGTCCATCGCTTTATCAATTCGATTGAAACCTGGCCGACAGANCGCCAAAATAACGGACCAAAGTTTGGACAAAGTTCAACACGCGATTCCAGTTGTTACCACTACAGGCGGTTCCAGACGATCCAATAATGAATGTGGTATCCATGGGGATTGGACATTGGACACCTGTTTGTCGGGAACAGTAAAAAAATGATATGTCCATGTTATTACTTTTATTTTTGTAGCACCTTCTCAAATTCAAGGTTGAGTATTGTCTGTTCGAAAGAGAAGGAAGCCATCCGCGGGAAGTAACATGGTAAAACTTAATGTGGAGGTAGCTTACTACATTTTTGAGGAAATGAAGAGCGCCTGTTTCCCCTCCTTTTAAACACGTTCAAAGTTATTTTTTTCATTCTCCAGTTTATGTTTGAGTAAAATCAATAAGTAAATACGCAAGCTGGTCGTTATCTGTACGCTTCGCTCCAGCGTGAAAAGAAAAACAACAACAACAACAACGACAGCAAAAGGAAGAACAGTTT